CTTCATGCCAAAGCTTTGTTTTGAGAAATAAATAAATAACGTAAATAAACAATGGACGGATTGCAGGATTGATGGGGCCCGATCGACAGATAAACAGACGGATGGCCGTGTGTGTGTGTGTGTGTAGACGGACGTGCAGACACTGGTCGAAGGGAACTCTATCCTGGATAGAGAGAGACAAAGACAAAGATCTCCTGTATAAACTGTACAGTGTTGGGGCGAGTGCTGTTAGCGAGCACCAATGAAGGCCGGCACGGCACGGGATGGCGTGGGTGGTCAGCATCACGCCCTGCCGCCTTTGTCTCCCCAGTGGCGATGTTCACACACCACACCAGCTACTTATTTGAGACCGAGTCGATATAGGGGAGGCCTTGAACCGGTTACAATAATCGTCACCGAGTGTTGGCCATGAGCGGGCATTGAACTCTGGTTGCCGGGTTCGTAGTGCAGCGCGCGAACCGCTACACTAGAGAGAGACACACGCGCACGCACGAGCAAGAAAAGCTGGACAAAATCTCAATGAAAAAATCCCACCGCCAACTACAATGCATATCCACATGAGGTGCAGCACAAACCATCCTGGCATGCTGCATAATAAATAAATAAATGCCAGCCACATTCACAATTTATATTTTACACACCAAAACATAAATAAACGAAACCTCGATGCTACGCAGGGTTGTCCATAAAGATATCATCCATTATTAAATATTTACAATTAGACTGGTTTGAAGTGTGTGGTTGAACGAGATGGGGCTATGCGAGAGATAAAGTGCATGTCAAGTAAACCCTGCCGCAGCATCTTGAGTGATCTTCAACAGCAAGTAACAGGAGCATCCAAGTCAATCACAGCCGAGGTATTGATGAACACCCGAGACTCTTAAATCTCGATGTGTTGTGTGTCACCAACACCGGGGCGCTCTAGAGGGATGAGGCTCGTATGATCAAATCTTCACACCGCCAAGTGCGGACACAAGTGCGTGCGTGCGTGCGTGCGCGCATGAGCGACATTAAACCCGGCGTACCCGAGTTCGATTCCCGCTCGCAGCGACCATCGGTGACGCACATCTGAATAGTTCTCAACGGGCCTCCCTTGGGTCAACTCAGCCTCAAACGAGTACCGAGTACGGTGTGCAAACACACCAGCACTGGGGAGACAAAGGCGGCCGGGCGTTGTGCTAGCCAAGCCACACCCTCGTGTCGCCGTGCCTCCTTCGTGGGTCCCCGTTAATAGCACTTGCCCCAAATGCCTGTGAGTTGAGCTAACTCAGACTGCTGTCCAATCATACATCTTGAATAGAGAACTACAGATGCCATCATGGCCACCATGCATGTCAGCGACGGGACAAACCGAGATCTCGGAAGCGCCAGGAGTAATTTATGCAAGTCCCACACACACACACTCTGTTTTTATTAAATCAGCCCCATTGTCCGCACTCCATTTCAGAGAATGCACCATCCCCGGTTTTGGCCAGCACGAAGGTGGAAAAGCGGATTCTAGTTTGTGTCACCTTGCCTTCGGCCCTGAATAAAAACCATTAACCAATTGCTGACGCTGCTGCAGCTGCCAATGTGGCTGCCGCAGCTTGTGCGGCAGGGCAGGTTCCATGCCAGTTGGCATTCGCCAAGTTCGTACGCAACGATAAGCAGCTTGCCCTACTAAACACAGATGCATTCGAGCTTCGGGTTTCACACGCGCATTTCTGTTTAACCGGGTGTAAATTCGACAGGAGACCAGGAGGAGTCTCATTTGTCAGAGTAACTTAGCTCGAGCAAAGTACAGCAGCAAGAAGGAAAAAAATTGTTAAAAAATTACTGCCGCGTGAAAGGGATCAAAACATTGTGCAACGTTAGACAATGAATTCGCCGTAGCTTAAGTTGGCTCGGGCAGATTATTTTGAGACAGACCATAAGTACAATCGCAATATTAAGTTGCAGAAACATTCAACTGATATCGGGTGACTATTGTACTCATATGTTAAGAGACACGTGTATACAGTATGCCCAATGCAATTGCAGGTGAAGATAAGGGATAATTGTATTTGGTTGTATGTAGAACTTCTTCCTCATCGTCCATCGCCAACCGTGTTAATCGGGTGTGCGGGAAAACGACGAGAAACTAAACACAAAAAGCAGTTCTAAAGAAGTGAGCTTTCAATCTGCATTTAAAAGTGCATTGCTCCAGTGGCTTCCCAATATTGGAAGGAAGAACGTTCCAGACATCTGAAAGGGCGAGATGCAGGGTTCGTAAGGCATGCATGCACTTATGAACTTATGCCCTAAGGGCCATGCGGGTGTAACCATAAAATACTCGCCGTCTGCTCTGCAGTGGACGTGAGAAATCCCATAGCGCGACGACCTCGCGCTAAAACAGTGGCGGCAATGGCAAAAGAACGAATCATTGAAACTGAATCCCGTCGTTCATTTTAACCAAAACTCTCTCACTTGCATGCGTGGCGGGCGCGTTGCACGGCTTCCGCGTTGCCAGCCGGCGTGCGTGCATCTGCACATACGTGCCCCCCCTCCCGGTCCTCCCCCACCCCCCCACCCCCCCCCCCTGCGCCCCCCCCCGCAGCGTGCGTACAAGCGGCTCGCTGTCGGCACGGCGACCGATTTAATTTCGGTGACACAACAACAAATTATCGGCGAGTCTCTGTTGGACACCAGCGGGAACCTGGGTTTCCGGCACGAGGTTGCTTCACCGTCATCATCACGATGATGAGTAGGTTGCGTGTTTTCCGAATAGCGGAATGTCGCGCGGACAAACTGGTTCCAGTGTGGTCTCTTTGTTGTGTAAAAATATTAACTGGCGGTTATTATTGACATGTCTTTGACAACAAATAAAACAACAAATAAAAAAAAATGAAGCAATGTCTCCTTCGCATATCCGTCTCTCCATATAAACAATAAAATAAATATTTCCTACACAACCCATCAGGCGCACGGGCCTTCTGGGAAGTGCATTATTTCAGCAGCGTTGATTCAAGACGGGCAGAGTTAGGCTCGCTTGAATACACTCTTGTGAAATTGAATGAATGCTGGGCGCCACGGTTGCAAGATATTAACTACCTCGCCTGATATGCAGGAGGTCGTGGGTTCGATCCCAACCCTTGACGCCTGCATGTTTGGAGTTTGCATGTTCTCCCCGTCGTGATCACGTGGATTTTTTTCCAAGTCCTCTGGTTTTTCCTTCCACATTTAGACACGTGTTTTGAGTATTTGGCTGCGATAAATTTCCACATGATAAGCCACTTCTCGTCGAGCTTTCATTTGTGGCCAGCTCGCTTCTGAAAAAGAGCTATATAAAGCTCAGTGGGCCTTACCTGGTAAATAAATACAAATATTTGTTTAGTTTTAACTACCAATGTTACAGGCAAGAAGCCTCGCTTTGTCTTATGGTGTCCTCCCTAGTTCGACGCAACATTATACAACACATGTCGAACATAATGAAAAGAAGCATGCCAATGTGGACTCCAGAAGAAATGTGTAATCAGTGCGTACTACCTGCTATGATGCATGGCTCAAAAAACATGTTCACTAACGAACAAACGGAACGAAACATTAGCCCCAATTGAGCCAACGATATGTACAATCGCATTAAACGTGACATTCCACCTCGTGATTTTTTTGGACATTCATCGGTGGCTGGGCTCTGACTATTGACTCATGGCACTGGACCCCAGGTTTAATCACGGGCGGCTGAAACTCTGGTTCGACCCCAGCCCCTCAGCGCCGTCAACTCGAGTGCTTGGGAGCCTTCAGTCGGCACGCACAACGCGGTAAACCTTTCTGTCAATCCCCTCCTGGATGAAGACTGTGTGCGCGGGTGGGGGGGGGGGGTATAGTACAGTACAACAATTGATTTTGCGGCAGTCTCCCCCCGCTGACTATGCACCTAGCTCCGAAGCCACCTACAACAACCTGGAGTGCATGGCGGTCACCCACGCATGCCACCAGGTAATGTCAAGGCCCCAACCCCTGCATAGCTGCCAGGTTCTTGACGGGTCACGGGTGGCGTTCTCCACCGATTGCACCACGAGCGGAGGTCAGCGCGAGATGGAACGCGACAAAAGTGTTTCCGTCCCGAGCTTCGCAGCACCAGGTGCGGATGTGAATTCCACTCCGGTCGCCTTCGACAGAGCGGGGGGCGGGGAACGTTTTTCATCATCGGAAATGGCCCCAAAGGCTACGGCGTTTGCATTTGCGGCCGCTTTTATGTCGCTCGGATTAAAGCAAGGGCCACAGCTGGAGACTACGGAGTGTATGGAGTGTCGCGTGCTCTTGAATTGCACGATCTCACCTGAGATGCACAACTGAACCGCAGCACGCCTCGCTCGTATTCTGATTCCCCCCCGCAAATATCTCCTCGCCTTCATTGCCAATTATTCCCTCTTAACACCTGGTTTATTAATTCTATGAATGCTGATGCAGTCAAACGGTCAGTATGCTGAACTTACAACCGAGAGGGTGTCGGTTCCATTGGAACGCCTGGCGTGGCAATCAAAACTATGGGGGACAAGTTGCTTTTATCCACCGCCACCCCCCCCTCCCCGTCAACGTCTTGCCCAGGCGTAGAGGTGGGTAACACCACAGCGAGTTTGCTAAGCACGCCGCGTGTGGTGGGGTAATGTATGGCTACTCAAACCCTCCTTCAAAGACGTGCGTCCAGCGAAAGAGTAGGCCAAGTTCCCTCTAGTGGAGGCCCTTCCAGAAGGAGTGGAAAAAGGGCCCAGGACCCGTTCGGATAATCATCACCGGTGTTGGCCATAAGCGGGAATCGAACTCGGGCTGCCGGGTTTCGTAGCACAGCGCGCCAACTGCCGTGCCGCTACTCCCCACCGTGACGACCACTGCAACATCCCCTCCTCTCTCGACACGAAACGCGAAAGAAACACATTACCGCCCGCTCGCTGCTCATCCACTCACCAACTCACCGCTTGCCCAACTCAACCACACTCGCACGCTTCCCCCTACTCCCCCACCCTCGACTCCGACCTCACCTCCTGCAGCGCTCGCTTCAGCTTGAGCAGCAGCGTCTTCATGCCGGTGCAGTCCTGCACGAGGTGCCGCAGGAACGCGGGGTCCAGTCCGGCGCCGGCGGTGCCGGCGGCGTTGGCGTTGGAGGGGAAGAAGCGGCCTCCGTCGCCGCGCTCGCTCCTCCACGTGGCGCCCGCCGAGCCGTCGCGAGCGGCCGTCTCTCCCGGGGGCGCCGGCGATCGCGCGTGGGGGCCGCCCGTGGCACGCGGGGGAATCCCGGCTCCCGGTGACGCCACCGCCGCGGACGTTCCGCCATCCACGGACCTTCCGCCGTGGGACCTGCGGGGCAGGCATGGCGGGAGACGATGTCCGGCGGATTCGTTGGAACGATCGCAATGCACACACGCGCGCAACGCGCGAGGGATGCTCGATTGAAAACTCATTCTGGATTGAACGATCGTTTCTTCAGAACCGCTCTTTGTGTTCGGTTTATTGGCCTTCCCCCGTACCTCCGGTTCGCACGGCTGGCTTCAGTACGGTGCGAAATAAGTTCACCGCAGGTACACGTACATACGCGCTGCTGCCACACTAAACGTGGAACGGTCTCCCAGCACGGAAATTTTAAACAACGGGGGCAAGTTTCTTTCCACCCCCCTCCGACGCCTCTGCCCACCCAGCAGTGTGATTGGGTTCACCGCAGGTAGTCGATTAACTGTGCACCCTTGAGGGGCTTCGGGGCACGTCGACCTTGCGATGAATTCCTGGCGACGTGGGTAACGGCAGCAGCGGGGAGCCGTGTCCGAACGGGGGCCTAGCCTCCCCCCCCCCCCACTTCCGTTCACCAACCCGCGCTGGCCAGCGTGGATGAAGTATGAGCCGGCAAAAGGAGGAATTCATCCAGCAGTAGATTTGCAAAAGGATTCATTCCTTTTCTCCTCCTCGATTGTCACGACTACATATGTAGCTGCTCGTTTGTATCGATTTTGGTTTTATTTACGTCTCATTTGCAGCGTCCTGGTTTGCACCATTAGCCTCAATTAAACATTTAAAACAGATAATTTATCTCAATGGGCCACCACCTGGTAAGGTAAAGCATGGGCAGTACAAACAACACGGCAGTTTTCATTACGCGCGGCGTAACGCGTAGCTCCTTCGTTTATAATGAAAGCATTTATTTATTAGTCACAAAAAAACCCGTTAAATAAGTAATTATAAGAAATAAGACAATTATAATGTCACCGTAGAAGAGTCAACTTGATTGAGGATCTACAGCATTCACTAATTCAGTTGAGTCACTCTGGATAACTCTTCTATCGCTACTGCTGCCGTCGTTTCTGCTCCTGTGAGAGGTTCGATCATGGATTCCTCCACTCCTGCTGAGGAGTCGGACTACCAGACACTGACCGATTCATCTCACGCACACCACTACACCGTAGGTCACACCGCAGACTCACCACACCGTAGGTCACACCACATACTCACCACATCGTAGGTCACACCGCAGAGTCACCACACCGTAGGTCACACCGCATACTCACCACACCGTAGGTCTCACCATATACTCACCACACCGTAGGTCACACCAAATACTCACCAGACCGTAGGTCACACCGCAGACTCACCACACCGTAGGTCACACCACATACTCACCACACCGTAGGTCACACCACATACTCACCACACCATAGATCACACTACAGACTCACCACACCGTAGATCACACCACAGACTCACCACACCGTAGGTCACACCGCAGACTCACCACACCGTAGGTCACACCACAGACTCACCACACCGTAGATCACACCACAGACTCACCACACCGCAGGTCACACCACAGACTCACCACACTGTAGGTCACACCACATACTCACCACACAGCAGGTCACACCGCATACTCACCACACCGTAGGTCACACCACATACTCTCCACACCGTAGGTCACACAACATACTCACCACACAGCAGGTCACACCACATGCTCACCACACCGTAGGTCACACCACAGACTCACCACACCGTAGATCACACCACAGACTCACCATACCGTAGATCACACCGCAGACTCACCACACCGTAGGTCACACCACATACTCACCACACCGTAGGTCACACTGTAGACTCACCACACCGTAGGTCACACCACATACTCACCATACCGTTGGTCACACCATATACTCACCACACCGTAGATCACACCACATACTCTCCACACCGTAGATCACACCACATACTCTCCACACCGTAGGTCACACCGCAGACTCACCACACCGTAGGTCACACCGCAGACTCACCACACCGTAGGTCACACCACATACTCACCACACCATAGGTCACACCACATACTCACCACACCATAGGTTAACATCTCACCACCCATCGGTGGTGAGATGTTAACTACCTCGCCTAGTATACAGGAGGTCTTGGGTTCGATCCCGACCCTGACGCCTGCTGTGTGTCTCTCCCCGTGGTCGTGTGGATTTTTCTCCGGGTCCTCCAATTTGTCCCTCCACACTAGGCTGCTATAAATATCCACCTGACACGGTACTTCTCGTTGAGCTGTCATTTCTTGACAGGCCGCTTTTGAAAAAGAGCTATATAGCTCAGTGGGCCTTACCTGGTAAAATAAAAAAAATGTTTAGTTTACTACTGCACCAGGTACTCATTTGAGGCTGAGTCGACCAAGGGGAGGCCCAGAACCGGTTAATATAATTGTCAGTGGTGTTGGCCGTGTGCGGGAATTTAACTCGGGTGACCGGGCTCATAGGGCAGTGCGCGAACCACTGCGCCACCATTTCTCACACCCACCTACCCACCCACACACACGCTCACTCATCCACCTACCCACTCATTCACTCACCTACCCACCTACCCACCCACACACACGCTCACTCATCCACCTACCCACTCATTCACTCACCTACCCACCTACCCACCCACACACACGCTCACTCATCCACCTACCCACTCATTCACTCACCTACCTACCTACCTACCCACGCACCCACTCACACACTCACTCACTCACTCGGGATCGCGGATCTAAAGTTCGCCGGCGCAAACGTGAAGCGGTGAGGTGTGCTCATGGCACAGGCGGAACCCAAAAGAAAAACAGCCGGCAAAGTGATTCTCCACTCTGAAGGCACGCCACTGTGCATCGCTCGCTGACGACACCACACAATACAGACAGGGAGAGAGGAGTAACAACACCAACGAGAGTAAACAACGATGATGAAAACGGTGAAGCACTAAAATAAATGGAAAAATGCACGGGCGAATAAGTTGTGCGTGAGACGTGTTCTCTGTGCATTTCGGTTGGGTTGGGTTCCCTCCCCCCCCCCACCATCAGCCCCCCCCACCTCCCCCCACCACCCCCCACCTCACCCTACCAGCCCCCTCCCGCTGTCTCCTCATCAACCTCCTAAGCCACGCTGGGCCCCCCTGCCCCCCCACAACGTTGGACCGACGTCGTTACGGCGCCTTCACAACGGACAAGCTGCCACTTTCACGTCCTCTCAGCAGGAAGCCCCTCGAGAAGCGAGGGGGGGGGGGGACGGGTGGGGGGGGGAAGAAATCCATCTCAAATGTCTTCCTCCTCCTCCTCCTCGTTACGACAATCTCACGGCGAAACAATAACACGCAAAATGTCACGCGGAAGAGCGTGCAGCGAGCGAGCGGGCGCCTGTGAGTGGCGCAGCTGCCGTGGGGGCCTGGCGGCGCGGGAGGCGGGGAGCAACAACACGGAGTGTCCGCCGCCGCCTTCGTCGTCGTGAGCTCCGGCTAAACCACCAAGCGCAACACTCGCTCCGGCGAGGTCACGCAAGGCCGTGTGAACGTTCACAACAGCAACAATAATCTTAATTCCAAGCCTGTCACGGCGTCGCGCGGCGGGTTGATTCGCTCGCCCTGGACGACTCGCGAGGCGCGGAGGAGCGACCGCAGGCAAGCGGCGAAGGCAGCCACGCGATGAGCCGGCGCTACGCACCCAATTGCCCAAGCTCTGCGGTCCTCTATATATGTGTCGGTCAATTAGTGAGTGTTTACACGTGTGCGAGGGGGAAACATTCTATCCCACAAGGATGGAACCGTGGAGTCCACATTTTGCCGCACCGCCTTCTAACAACAGCTGGTTCACGTGCCTGCGCCATCAAACCGGAGTACCTAACATTAAAGCGCCACACAGATGGATTCGATAATCCATTTGCTGTAACGCTATCGCTTGTGCACGTCAAAGTCCAAGAATACAACGCTTGGGATTGCAACCTAAGGTGGAGGGGAGTGACCTTTGAGTCTCCGAGGTACTGATCAGATGGAAAGGGCGCGTTCAGGGTTATTCAGCACTCAGTAATGTGGCGCACGAAACAGAAAGGAAAAAAAAACATTCGAAGGACAAATGTATACCTCCGCACACGATGATGCATGCCAGCGTGGCAAATTAAGATCTTCGACTGAACCTCTCCCTCGTCCGTTTTTGGGCCATCGCGGATCTTTCTGAGAAAGCAATCGAGCACCAACTATGTCAACGGCGGCGGCATCCCGCGGCAGGAAATGAAAAAAAAAAGACCAACGCTGGCAGCCAATGATTGTGGGGCTAAGACACCGTACGTAGGAGGGTTTGTCTCGTGATCACAGGCTAAAACGTCGTGTCAGAAATCAGAACACGCGACGGCTTACTCTTGTAAAACAGAAGGCAAAACCCGTCGTCGTAGACAGTTATGGTAACCGGCGGTCGAGCTACGCCCGTGAGAATACCGCTCCGCCGCGGAGATGGAGCGATGAAATCGGTTCGTGTGCCGGTGGACTGCTACATCGCGGGGCCGCGAGAGATGGCGGCGCCTTTGGGAGGCCTCCATCCAGCAGTGGATTCGCCAGTGACCGATAACGACGAAGGGGACGGGTTGCACGGAGTTGAGATTTTTTAGAATTCGCATCGTCGCCGGTTCAAGGGACCGAGGCTTCCATCTGGGAGGGCGGGGGGGGGGGGAAGGGGGGCTGGACCACAGTTATTGGGTATCTGTGAAAAAACAGAGCTTCATAGCCCATCGGATTCCTCCAGTGAAAACAAATATTTTTATTCTTGATTCATCAACTGAGACTCGACGTTCGTCAACAAATACCGGCCCGCAGTTGCTGATCTCTCTGCTTTGGGGAAGGGCCATTGCCTGAAACGTCACTTATTTGTTTATATATACAATTTATATGTAGCCATGCTTTCCTTAGAGGGCCACAGTCTTATTGACGAATGGCGTGGAGTTCTTGTTATTTGAGCTTATGCACCGCTGCCGACGCAGAATCGCTAAGATACTTAATCGACAAAGATGCATGTGCATGGAACAACT